GCTCGGCCCGGGCGGCCCGCGTCGAGGGGCCGGGACCCGCGCGGGGGAGGGCGCTGGCACGGGAGACCGAGCCGGACACCTATCCCTCCCGCGTCCTCGCGCGACCCGAGGTCATGACCCGTCGCGCCCGGTGGCCGGGTCAGCATCCGCTCATGTCCCCGGCTCTGGCTGCTGGGACACAATAGCACCCTGCACTCCGCCTCGCCGCAACTTTACCTGACGCTGGGGCCGCAGCAGGCGAAAGAGCTCCCGGCGTCCGCACATGAAGACTACCGCCATTTTGACCGGAAGTGGACTTGCTTTCGCGCTTGCGCACTTAGAAGCGCGACCCCGCAGGAGGCGGCCCTTTTGAAAATGGGCACGGAAGTCGTGGTTGTCACCAGGTGGTAAAGGCGAATGTCCCTGGGTGGCCATATTTGAAGTGGGTAAGAGGCCTGGAAGGGTCACATTGGTAACAGCGTGAAGACTGTGACTTCCATGGGAGGCGGGAGGATCGTTGCGAGTTCGAGACCAGCGTGGGCTACAAAGTGAGCTCAAGACCAGCCTGAACTGCATAGCAAGACCCTGTCTCAAAAAGAAAAAAAAAATTGAATGAACTTCCTGTATGGTAAGGGCAAGGTCCTGGGTTCAATCAAGACAAACAAACCGACAGAGCCTTCCAGAAGGCTGAAGTCACGAGCCACCTTAGTGGTCATTGTGAGTAATGGTGTAATCCTGGGGTTTCCCAAAGTCTCAGTTGTCCTCTGATTTTTTGAGGGAGGGTACCAGAAATCAAACTTAGGACCTTGTGCTTGCAAGGCAGGAGCTTGTGCTCCTGAGCTACATCCCCAGCCCAATTTTTTTGGTTTAAAAATAGACTTTAGACTACTGGCTGTGCTTGGCATGGATTTTTCACACCTGATGATGTTCAATTTTTACTACTATGTGGCACTGAAGTTGTAGATTCAATGAAATTTGAGGGTAGTCTGGAGTCTGAAAGAAATAGAGGGAAGATGGCTTGGAGGAAATATTTTCCTCTTGTATACAGCAGGCGTGGTGGTACACACTGTGGGGGAAGGACTGTGATTGCTAATGAACTGATTACTGATGGTCGGCTTATGATCCCCAGCCGTGCTGAGTGTGGGGATGAATTACTCCTGTTGGTCTGAGTTACGTTCTGGGTTCTAATAAAAGGGTATGGAGATGGGTGATCGGGGCTGCTGCAGCCCCAGAGGCTGTGGGCCCCCTGATCCCAGACTTTTGCATCTTCTGTTTTTCTTATTGTTTACCTTTTCTTATTCATCCGCGGGCACCTCATTCTTGTGACCTGTTACTACAGATAGTACCAACAACACACCTGTTATCCTAACATTGGGAAGGCTGAGGCAGGAGGATTGCTACAAGTGTGAGATCAGCCTGGGCCACATAGTGAGTTCAAGGCCAGCCAGAACTACATAGAGACCCGGTCTCAAAACAAAGCAAAATAAAACAAAACACAAAACAGAACAACACCAAAACCAAACCCAAAAAAGAATAAAACTGAACCAAACCAAACCAAGACAAAAAACAAAGTGCCACCTTCCCCAGCCCCTCGTTTGAGTGGGGTTGTGTGTGTAGAGTGTGACCATAAGGGCTAACATACTAAATGAAAAGCTAACATGTTAGAGATGATCAAATGAAAGAGAAAACACCTGATAACTTGGTCATATCCTTGAGCTGCCATACCAAGCTTGTCACCACCTACTTCTAGACTTTGTTGTGTAGTATAAGTAAAGGTCTTTATTGTCTAGACTCCCAACTTTCTGTCCTGGGGTATTCTATTTTTCAAAGCAGACAGCATCCTTTAAAGATGTGTAAGATGAAGTTTCCTTCCTCTGCAGAGGTGGGGAGAGGACTACTGCCCAGAAAGCTGGGGTTAATTATGTTTGAACTTGTTGCTGGAGGCCCAGGGCTTGGGAGTCTCAAAAGACCTGGCTTGGCCACCTGTCCCAAAAAGTAGTCAGTGAGAGCAGTTTTGGAGTTCAGGGAAGGAGCTTTAATCAACATGGCCATGCTGGGAAGGATAGATGAAGAAGTTCAGTCCAACATCTGTCTTTGAGGGACTGATGGAAATTTTGGAGTTTTATAGAAAAAGGAACAGAGACAAGGGTTGGGGGTTTGCATAGCTGGCAGGATTGGTAGTCCTGGTCAAGCGGTGGTCCGGTTGATTGTTATGCCAGGACTGGTTCTATGAGGTGGCTCTGGAAAAGTCCTAATGGCTTGCCAGTGTACTGCGCTTCCCATAAGATGGTTGCTTCTGCTTGTGTTTGGGGTGACCTCATCCTGGGTTGTTTTGTGAAGTTCTACTTTTCCTAGAGTGCAAGGTGACCCAGGTTTAGTCCTTGACTGGGGACTTTTAAGTATCATTCCAGGAGGTCAGCAATAGGATATTGTAAAAAATCAGTTATGTTGCTATTCTTAGTTTTGAAGGGGGATGACAGAGACTATGAAAATTTAAGGCAGATAGATGTATATTGTCAAGTTTTTAGGCAGACTCTGAGTGATTAACGGGGCTGTGGGGAGCCCCTGAAGCTGGAAAATAATTACACTGGCAGGATGAAGGCAGCCTGAGAACACAGGAGCTCCTCAGAGGAAACAAGCCCCTTGGAGTAGTAACTTGTTAACTGGTTGCTGGGCAACAAGGCAAAAATTAACCAACCTCTCCAGGGTATAAATAAACGCTCTACTGTTTTGGGGCAGTCCTCCTGCTCATCAGGCAAGAGGTAACTCCACCTGACACTGGTTATCATCTCTTTTCTTTATTTTCTAAATCTTCTGCCCGTTTTCTCCCGGGGAGCACTGACAGACCACCGAGTCCCACACAGGGCTACGTGCAAAGCCAAGCGGGAATCTGAACAAAGTTTTAAGGAATAAACATATAACATGATGTCAGAGATGCCAAGCTTTACTCTGCTTTTAGTTACCTTTGGGTATCTGCAGGCCCAGCTTCTAAGTCCTGTTATAAACTCTTACAAAGCTTCTCAAAGTATAATGGATTTGGCGGTCTATGTACATAATCCCAGCACCCCGGGAAGCTGAGGCAGGCGTGCAAATTCAAGCCCAGCCTAGGCAATTTAGCAACTTAGGTCGGACCCAGTCAACCCCACCCGGCCAACCCTGGAAAGAAGGATGTGTTGGAAGTAGATTTTCCAGCCCATTGGAGCCACCCTCCGTGATTCTGTGGAGCAAAGAGAGGCTTCCTCCGACCAGCCCTGCCCAAGTCACAAAGTTATTTTAGATTATTTTGCTGTGTAAGAATAAGTAACCAAGATGTAGTGTAGTGTTAAGCCAGTGTGTATTTGCACTGGGAAAGCATTTCCTTACCACTAGAGCTAACTGAGGTATGCTTTATATTAGTTTGCACTTATTTGTGTGTCTTATCCCTCTTCATGAAATGGTCCTATTTCCTCCTTTAGATTGTACATTTCTGGAGATAGGGACCATGTGTCCTGCTTTTTGTAACTCTTATTATTTACACTGAGAACTTTTTTTCCTGTTATTCTTTTCTCCCTTGAACTTGAATTTTTTATTATTAATTTTATTGGTATTCTTTAGATAGTCATAATGATCACATTCATTAGAGGAAGTTTGTACCTGTACATGATATTTCTTGATTCTTCTTTTTTCCCTGAACCCCTCTTCTCCCTTCAACCTTTTTTTTTTTTTTTTTTTTTAAGACAGGATCTTGCTATATACTGTACATAGTTCCATAGTTCAGACTGGGCTTGAACTCACTATGTAGCTCTGCCTGGCCTCAAACTTGCAATGATCCCCCTGCCTTAGTCTCCTGAGTGCTGGAATTATAGGCATGTGCCACCATACCCCTGCAGGAACCTTAGTTTTCAACAGTGCCTGATTGGCTGACTTTCATTTGGTAAAGGAGAGAGGATCACAGATTTATTTATTTATCTATCTATCTATCTATCTATCTATCTATTTTGAGGCAGGGTCTTGCTATGCAGTTCAGGATGGCCTTGAACTCACTTTGTAGCCCAGGCTGGTCTTGAACTTGCAGTGATCCTCCTGCCTCAGCCTCCCAAGTGCTGGGATTATAGGCAGATTTATTTATTTATTTATTTATTTA